AGACTTTTCCCATATTACAAAAGCGCCGTCCCTGGGATTTGAACATGGGATCTTCCTATAACGTTTGGTGAGGGTGATAGCTAGACCATTTCACTAAATCGCCACACCTCATAAAATTATAATTATTAAGTTACAGCATTATTAGATTTAAATATACAGCACTTACTTGTTTTTTCTATGCGAGGCCTTTTGTTATTAATATCTGTATCTAAATTTTCACTTGCTTCCACTAACTTTATATCTAATATTTTGAATGCTACTTCTATACCACCTTGTTCTTCAATAAAATGCTTACATTTTTTTAGGTGATTTTTTACTTGGTCACTTTTATTTGGAAACTTTTGAATTATGGCAGCTGGTTTACCAACAGCATCACAGCACACACAACAAATTGCATAATTTCTCCATTCATTAGCTTTATCATCAAAGATCTCAATATAATTAGTAAATTTATAACCTTTTTTTCTTAACATTGTCAAGAGTCAAGAGTTAAGAATAAAGAATCAAGAAAAATTTAGTACAAAGATTAGTTAGTTAAGTATTTATATGAAATTATTACGTCATTTGAATACAGGAATATACTTTGTAACTACGTAATTATGACTAATGCTAATTTCATACAATAAGTTTCTACAATTTGCGCTATCGCTATCGCTATACAAAACTAGAATTTTTTTTTTTCCAGATATAAACCAAATGTCCTTACTATTTATAGAGTAATATTTAATTTGGCTTTGTAAGATTGAAATAAAGTATTATATACAACAGATTAGCTTGGTTGGTTCTAGATAGTTTATAAGTATTTTTTTTCTATTAATATACAATATTCATTAAACTTTTTTGAATGCAAACCTTAGTCATTTAACAATTTTATAACTTGTAATTACGTATTTAACGTTAAAACATGAAAAATAGATTTTGATAGAAGATTGAATTTGTACTAAACTTAAACATCTAAAGCTACATATGTATATAGCAGGTTTTTAGACCGATTAGAAAAACTTTTAGCATTATATCTTTTATATTTATTTAGACATTATACATTAAAATTTCACATGCTAAATATTTTACTTAGATATCCATTTTGGGTTTGTATTAACAATCATTATTGCGCCAGATATTATATTGTTGCATTAATAAAATGCTTTTATAGTATATACATATGTACGTACAGTGCAAGAAACCTAACAACTTCAATCACAAGATACATACAAAGAGATTCTCTTCGTTTATCGAGATCGATAATTTAGGATATTTATTTTTGATATTCTACTAGTTTATGCAGCACTGTACGTATGTATGTACATATATGTATTTCTTATTATGGAGAAATAATTCTCAACATGGAATAATATCGATATGCCAAAAATAAGATATAATTAGCATGTGTATACTCTAAACTTAATTAAGATAAATTTAACTTATTTTTAGTATGTCATAAAGTAGTCGAAGTTTTAGATTTCCCACGCCATATGTACAATTTGATTGGATATAATTCTTGGCTGATTTGGCCACGGCCAATCGGCCAATACTTTTATTTGGCCATCGCCAATAGCCAATCAACTTTGGCTACAAAAAGTTGGCCATTTTTTGGCCGAACAGGCAATTATCGGCCAACGGCCAAGAAAATTGTTTGGCCGATATAAATTGCCAACACTATCCCTTAAATTGTAACACAGGCAAATTTGCCTGCGAAGATTTTTACTAATTTTTTTAATATTTAAATTTT